CACGAAGCGAAAGTAAGATCTACTAAATTTTAATTAAATTATAGATATATCAATTCATGTGAATATGACTGAACAATTTCATTTTTTCTGGAAAGTGGTGTCTATTTACTTGTGACCACGCTGTGTACATTACAATAACTCCCAAATAAAAGGCGTCAAATAATTAAGGTAGGTCAAGGCACATGCACACTGCCCTAATAGCTTAGCCAAATCAAATATCATATTAAGCAGTGAAATTGTGACAGATGGGCTCGTAAATGTATTTATATGAATAAATGTTCTTCCTATTATTATTTTATTTTCTATTTATCACCTTGGTTTTTACAACAGATGGCGCTGATCTAGTTTAATGTAAACACGTGGTGGTGTTAGATTTAGTTGCCTAATGCTCAAAGTAAATGTCGCGTGATTGATGTGATAAGCTACAACATTTCTTAATCGATTGATTTCACTTTCTCTGTAGACTGGAGCTGAAGATGGATTCTGTGATTCGAACTAAGGCTTGAGATAGAAATAAAACCAACGTAGAAGAAAAAGGTCTTTCGTGTATTGACACGTGTATATAATGATATGTTCAGCTAATGTTTATACATGTTAGATATACAATTCAGTGGCCTTATCTTTAATTATTAGAAAATATGAAAAAGTGTAGTATATATGATGACAAAATAAATCCCGTCATTGCTTTTAGTCTTAATAGAGCTATGCCTGTCATTTGAAGCAGTAGTAGACCAACTGTAGACTAAAACATACTACATATAAATGTTCTAATAAATAGGTGTTAATTGTTTAGATAACCTCTGAGCTTGTAAGTCAAGACTAGTTTGTCATGTCTAACAGTAACTATACACAACTTCTGAAAGTTCTCAAGTTACACAGTATAGTGCATCACATATATATACTAAATACACACACACACACACATATATATATATATATATTAGTTTTGTTTTTCAAACGTCTTTCTCATTATGTTTAATCACGAGAGAGTATATCCATAAGCCGACTTTGGTTAACAAGATTAACAGTACATCTTCTTTTGCTAGCATTCACCACCTTGTTTAAGTAGCTTGCACATGATCAAAGCGAATTTTTCTTTACAAAGACAGCACTTCATGCCTCACTCTTAATCTCATTAGATTGACTAGATATTTTCAGCGAACGAAGATGTTCCCATTTGAGTAATTGATCATGCGTCCTTTGCTTATTTTACGAAATTCATGTTTTTATAATCTAATAACGTTTCAATGTGTATATTTATATTCTCTTTGTTTATGACAGCTTGTTATAGTTTGCATAATAAAGCAGTCTAGCTGAATTTTACCAAGAATCTACTATCAGTGAGTCAAGTAGACAGACAAACAATTAGATGAAATGAAAAGAGCAGATATAAATTATAGGATAAATAAATACAGCTCAACAGAGAGAAAAATACGTGAACAAATAAAAGACAATAAGATGTACAAGTATACAAATACTTATGAAAATTAACTAATACAAGTATAAGAAAAATAACGTTAAAGTATGCTTTGTTACTTTAAGAATAAATTACATAGAAATTCTCAAAGTAGATAACATGTTAGAGGTCGTAACAGTCATAATAAATTGTGTTAATCCGTTGATAAAGTATTAAACCAGTGCACGTGCTAAATGCAGATAATTAGAATAAAAATGAAATACTGACAAGTAACCGAGATGATTACTAGAAACTTCCCTTTAAAAAATCACAACGTTTAAACCTCAATTGTGAAACACACGTGACTTTTCATTTAATCACCTAAATATGTTTTATTTATAAGAGGGTATATTTAACTATGCCTATACGAAGCATTTTATCAATCACTGGTAACTTATAAGGATGCGAGCAGGAACTGGTGAAGGATTTTAAGCCATTTGTTATGTAGCTTAATGGAAAAAAAAATGACGTATACTAGAATTGAAGCGCAATATTAACTAATGACGTTTATTTATATACGTTTGTTACATTAATGCAAATCTAACAAGCGTCCCATTTAACAAATGTAGTGAATATTTATATTGATACTGAAGTCTGGATCAAACGTTTACTTCTTCACGAGCCATTTGCTATGATTCTTCTTTTTTAGTTTACTTAAAGCATTTTCGTGTGACTTGAAAGCAGTTTTGCAAAGTAAAATAACTATATTTCTCATTCTTACTTAGCTCAAACTTGAATACTGAAAGAAGTTTGTATTTTTTAAACGCGACCTCTGAGTAAATGTTAGTCAAAATATTTATCTTTTTTTTAATGATATCATGGTGAGCCAGTATAGAATGTGCGTGATAATCTAAGCTTCAAGAAAATTCAGGTACTAATAAAAATGTAGTTATCTCGTATACGTGTAGTTGTAATTATTAACCGAAACATTATCCAGTTTAAATTTGTAGTTATCTCGTATACGTGTAGTTGTAATTATTAACCGAAACATTATCCAGTTTAAATTTGTAGTTATCTCGTATACGTGTAGTTATAATTATTAACCGAAACATTATCCAGTTTAAATTTGTAGTTATCTCGTATACGTGTAGTTGTAATTATTAACCGAAACATTATCCAGTTTAAATGTTGAGCCCTGTAACGCAAACGTTTCCTCTTCGTGATTTTCTTGATTTATTTAAAATCTTTTTGTTGGTGAATTAATTTGTAAAACTAATAAAATGTTTATATATTAGCTGGACCTACGTTTTGTATAAATCATATTAAATACACGAAAGGTGAGGTATGCAACAACTGTATGAATCCTTAGACGATGTAATAAAAGTTTTTATATGAAGTAAAGTATTTTGACGTAGTAAATATATATCATCGTTACATTTCACGGTACGTAATGTTACTATATCTGAACGATAAAAAATTTCAAACGAAACAAATTGTACTCTAGTCACGAATCTTGAGCGAATGACTGAAAATATTGAACGCAGGGAAGTACAAACAAATCGTTTGATATATAATCCCTCAGATAAACATTCGGTAATCACGTGCTAGACGAATAACTTCTCTATATTGTGTAAGTGTTTGGAAACTCATTGTTATGAAGACAAATTCTTAAGTTTGAAGTATATTCTGAAGTAGAATTTAACCACAACCGTTATTAAAGCCCTTCTTCTATCTGTGTATTCTAAGATAGAATTTTTAGATTTTTTTAGATACAAAATATACCAAACTTAAATGCTATTCATTGACCTTCGTCAAAAGCGAGCACGGCAACAGTAAAAGAAAAAAAGTTACCTCATGAAAAATATAAATGAAGTTTATAACCCAAATTCATCTCTCTCTCTATATATATATATATATATATTTACGGTCATACTGTCTTCTCATAAATGTACAAACTTTTAGTTAAGCTTCAAGTAAATGCTTCGATGAAAATAACAATTGAATGATGTTCTTACGAAAAAACTATAATAAAAAATTATACTATTTGATATTTTAGTGTAGTTTTTATATTGGCTGAACACCTAACTAAACCAATATAGAACATACCTTTAATGTAGTTTTCATACTGGCTGAACACCTAACTAAACCAATATAGAACATACCTTTCTTACAATATTGAAGACTTTATCCGAACAACACCTTCAGCTTCTGATAACAAAAAATCTAGATACGCGTTTATAAAAGTTTTTATCTTCCAGAAACTAAGTGCTGAAAACTAAGAGGGGCATAAACGATATATATATATATATACGGCATTTATCCCCAAAACCTACAAGGTTTTGCTTTTACGTAAGAGAAATTGCATGACTCTCCTAAATCTGGGATATATTTTAAACGCTACATTTGTATGTAGCCGGCTTCTTCCATGTCCGTGGAGTACCACGGCCAGTTAACAACTGCCTTAAGAAAGCGCCAAATGGACACGTATCACCAGCTTTACCCACGTTAGAGGCTCAGATCACTTCACTTCAACCGGTTAAAGAAGAGAACGCCCCCTAGTGAGCAAGATACGATTATATGAAGAGATTAAGTTTCTCAGAACGTTTTGCATATCAGCGTCTCTCTCTCTCTTTTCTTTTCACTGAAAAAGAACAGATGATACGGAAGTGTTAGTAGATGATGTAACACAAACTTGTAGATGTAGGACATGACTAGGAGAACTTATGGCTAAGGCGCTAAATGATCCGTAGCCAGTCGTGTATTTTCGTATATTCGTAAAGATAGCCCCAATCCGTCACATTTTGTGAAGTACGGAAATACAAATCAAACTGTAAAGCTTAAGTGAACATGATATTTTGAGTACTGACTCTGAAGTTAACATTTTACATTTACTAAAATGTAGAATAAAAAATTAGGTGTTGTATTGTGTCATACTCAGTATAATGTCTCCAGGATTTTTTTTATAAGTGTTGCTATATTGTGTTTTATATTAATATAATATATAATTAATAATATAATATGTAATTAATATAATATATATATATATATATATTCACTTGCATGACCCTTCGTCTATTGATTAAGCAAATATGTCTAAACGAAATTAAATATTTGTTTCATATCTTTTCTTTTTCGCACGTTTCTCTTTAGCTCATTGGGAAATCTAATGATCTTAAGAGTAATTTTTCTTAAGATAAAAATAATATACATATTAGCATATAGCATCATTTACAGCGGAAAGGAATAAAGATAATTAAGTGGAAAATGTGCTTATAGGAATAGTAAAATTCAAGTACATTATAAACGTAATTTTTAACATTTAATGTATCATCTGTACAGTGTAGTCTCAAAACATGTAACTAATTAACCATGCCATGAGAAAATGTCATTTTGGCTAGAGTGAAGTCAGAACTGTCCATTTTTACACAAATCGTAATTAACTGTTCATTGATAAAATGTCATTTTGGCTAGAGTGAAGTCAGAACTGTCCATTTTTACACAAATCGTAATTAACTGTTCATTGATAAAATGTCATTTTGGCTAGAGTGAAGTCAGAACTGTCCATTTTTACACAAATCGTAATTAACTGTTCATTGATAAAATGCCATTTTGTTTACAGAATAAAGTCAGGCCTATCTATTTTTACACAAATCGTAATTAAGTGGACATTCAGGAAATGTCATTTTGTTTATATAGTGAAGGAAGATAAATTGTAATTGGGTATCTTGTTGGTCTTAACACACATATCAAAACCCTTTTTTTTTGTTTATAGTAGAAAACTGTGAATTGTTAATACATATGTATCAAAATATTATTAATCAAAACACTATGCTGATCCAAAAAATCAGTTAATTTACCTCCTTACAACTAATATAATTCTTTTGCCAATATGATAACTCTTGGATCAGTTAATGATTGCAGTTTTAGCTATTTTAGAGTGGGAACTTTAGTCTTTGATACATCAAAACATTAACCAGTATGAGTAGAAATAGTTTCATATTTTGTGGGATAAGAATATCTTCTATTATCGCATCTATTTCAAATACACACCAATTTCCCATTTTGTTTTCATAACTTAGCAATACTACAATATAGAGTTATAAACATTAATATTGTATGCATAATGGTGAGCAATACAACTGCTGATGAAACAAACAGTGACTACGGTAACTGTATTCTGTTACCGTTAAGTTATACCTCAAATAGGCCAATGGAAAAACATGCAGTAAGCTCATTTTTGATAATTGTTTAAAGTAGTATTACGTAATTATTATGATTTTAATTCCTTTCCTTTATCAAGTTATTGATTAGATTACCCAGTCAACAATCATATATGGCATGATGTGTCTTTACCTTCACGATGAAGAAAACAGTATTGATGCGAGAGACTGAATCGGTAAAAATATTGTTTCTTACTAATTAAGATACAGGATTGACTGTGGGCTAGAAGATGAAAATGAGTAACCTATTTTTTTTTGCATTCTTGTGACGATAAACTATAATTCGTTTAACGCTTTACTTTTGAAATGTAAGTACATCATAATACACGCATTGAATTATAGTTACATCACAATACACGCATTGAATTTTAGGTATCACAATACACGCATTGAATTGTAGGTATCATAATACACGCATTGAATTATAGTTACATCACAATACACGCATTGAATTTTAGGTATCACAATACACGCATTGAATTGTAGGTATCATAATACACGCATTGAATTATAGTTACATCACAATACACGCATTGAATTTTAGGTAT